GCGAGCGTACGGCGTGACGCGAGGTCTTCCGCCGCGCGTCGAGCACTCGACGAGCGCCATCGATTCGTCCAAAGATCGGCCGAATCTGACCGAGCGAGGGAGGTTTGAAGTTTGACCGCCCGAACCGGCGGTTTCGTTCCGCGCGGCCGCGGACCAGCGGCGGCCCCGGAAGAGCACCGCGGACCCCGCGGCGGCGACGAGGGCGCCCCGCGGCGGCCGCGGCAGGCCCGCGACGTCCGGCTTGACGTCGCCGGCCGGCGACCGCTCCGCGACGACGGCGACCGTCGGCGCCGCGACGTCGGCCGGCGGCGGCGACCGCGCGTCGACGGCCGCGCGCGGCCGCGGCGGCGCCTCGGCCGGGGGCGGCGCGCGGCGCCGCTGGGGCGACGGCGGCGCGTGGTGGAGCCGCCGCGCGGCCGCGCGCGGCCGGCCCCGGCCCCGGCCCCGCGGCCGCGAGGCGGCGCCGTCGAGGCCGAAAAAGCGCGCGACCTCCGACCGCGACCGGTAGACGCGGTCCTCGGGCGACCGGTAGGTCGTCGCCCGCGGCGCGCCGTCGCCCGCGCGCGCGCGGGCGCGCCAGCCCCGGAGCAGCGCGGGGCCGTCGCCGCCGCGCGCGCCGAGGTACGCCGCGAGCGCCCGCAGCTTCCGCCGGTCGTCCGGCGTCGCGCCGCCCTCGTCGTCCTCCTCCTCCTCGTCGTCCTCGTCGTCCTCGTCCTCCTCCTCGTCGGAGCTCGACTCGTCGCGCTCCGGCGACGAGTCGCGCTCGCGGCGCCGCTGGAGCCGCGACGCCTTGGCCTCGGCGTAGTGCCGCGAGCTCTTGTGGCTGCCGTAGTACCTGGGCGGGAACAGAGAGATGCAACGTCGCTTCCACGTGAGCGTGCCGCGCGCGCGCGTTTCGGACAAAGCATGCACGCGTCGAGACCGTTCCGAGAGATGATCGCTCGTCCAAAAATCGGCCGAAACGAGTGGGAAACGGCCGAGAGAGGAAGTTGGGCACGTCGCGCTCTTTTCCCGCCCCGCGTCGTGCCAGAGCGCGACGTCCTCGAGGCGCCGGCCGAGGGCCCGCGCGAGCGCCGGGAGGTCCTTATACTTGCGCTCCCGCGCCATCTTGAGCACGAGGGCCGTCGCGTCCGCGCGCTCGCCCGCCGTCCACCGCCAGCGGCCCGCGGACCCGGCCGCGACGGCCGCGGCGACGGCCGCGCCGCGGCCCTCGTAGCACGCGGCCAGCGAGTCGCCCGTCGCCGCGGCGACGTCGTGGAGGGCCCGCAGCGTGCGCTCCTCGTGCTCGCCCTCGGGGAAGCGCCCGGCCAGCGCGCCGTCGACCGCCGCGTTCGGCTGGCCGCCGCGAAAGTCGGGGAGGTCCGCGCGCTCCTCGGCCGGGACGAAGCACGCGCGCGCGTAGAGGGCGCTCTCGGCCGCCGGGCCGTCGGCGACGGCGCAGGCCGGCGCCTCGCCGACGGCCGGCAGCGCGTCGCACGCGTTCTTGCGATAGCGGAAGGCGAGCGCCATGGCGCGCCGGCCGCCGCTGGATGGTGGTGTCGAGTCGCACGCGGTGGTCGCGCGCGCGACGGCCGCCGCGCGGAGGCGCCGCGGGGACGACGCCGCGGCCTGGCGCGTTGCGACCGCGGATGCAACGCGCACGCGTGCTGCAACGCGCGGTGGCGTTCGTTCTAGCGCGTTTCGTAGCGCGAATGAAACGAGGTTTCATTCAACCATTTGAGCGCAAGATTGGAGGTTCAAGGCCGACTTCGACGTCCGGCGTCCAAAGCATCCGTCCAAAGCGATGGGCTTCGTGCTCTCAGACAGCAAGCCCGAGAGCGATGCGACCGAGGCGCCGGGCCTCGTGCTTGCAAAGTCCAGCGAGTCGCAAGGCCTCGCGCCTGCAAAGCCCAGCGTGCTCGTCGGCCAGGTCGTGCACCGGCGGCGCCTGAGCAAGAAGCTGTGCTTCCTCGACGTCGTAGCCGACGGCGAGCGCTATTGCCTCGTGGCGAAGAGCGAGGTGCTGGGCGTGGCGACGGCCTGCGGCCTCGCGGGCGTCAAGAAGGCCACGGACGTGCGCGCGGGCGACGTCGTGCGCGCCGCGGGGGTCTGGGAGGACGCGGCGACGCTCGTCGTCGACGGCCGCCTCGACGTCGTCGACCGCTGGGACACGGCCGCGCGCGGCTCCTTCGCGCCGGTGCCGCCGCCGCCGAGCGGCAAGGCGCTCGCGCGCGTCGAGGTCTGCAAGTACTGGGTCAACACGGGCGCCTGCAGCGGCGGCGCCGCGTGCCGCTACGCGCACGACGGCTCCGCGCGCGCGGCGGCGGCGAACGCCTGGGTCGCGTCGAAGCGGCTCGAGCGGCGGCGGCTCCGGGGGCAGCCCGACGACCTCGCGGCCCACGACGAGTCGTCGAACGCGTCGCGGCACCGGATCGTCGCCGAGTTCCTGCTGAAGCACGTCGGAAGAGACGCGCTCGCGGCGGCGCCGGTCCTCGACGTCGCGGGAGGCCGCGGCGGCCTCGCCTTCGAGCTCCAGGTCATCCACGGCGTCGAGACCGTGCTCGTCGAGCCGCGGGTCTACGAGAATCGCCTCACGCGGCGGCAGCACAAGATCCTCAAGAAGCGCGGCGAGGGCGCGGCGCGCGTCCCGCGGCACGTCGCCGCGGCCGTCGGCGGCGACTTCGACGACGGCGCGCTCGTCGCGGGCTGCTCGGCGCTCGTCGGGCTGCACGCGGACCAGGCGACGGAGTGGATCGTCGACGAGGCCCTGCGTCTGGACAAGCCGTTTTTGGTGGTCCCCTGCTGCGTCTTCCCGTCGCTCTTCGCCGCGCGGATCCACCCGGTGACCGCGGCGCCCGTCGTCTCGCACCAGGACTTCGTCGAGTACCTCCTCGCGAAGCGCTACGCGTCCGGGGGCGCCGTGCGCCACGCGATCCTGCCCTTCGCCGGGCGGAACCAGTGCGTCTGGGGCGTTCCCGAGGCGACGCCGCCGGAGTAAGGCGGGCGAGTTCGACGCTCGGCCGAGGTGTTAGCCGCGCCCCCTAGAAGTTCGAGAGCACGCGGCTCTCGAAGACGCCGGCCTTCGTGAGGAGCTCCTTCACGGCGACGAACATGTCCTTGGGCCCGCAGACGCAGGCGCCCGTGTTCCGCGGCACGGCGATGCCGTCGGCCTCCATGCACGCCTGGACGTAGCCGCTGAAGGCGCCGCCCGACGCGGCCTTGGAGTGGCACGGCTTCACGTCGACGTTGAACTCCGACCGCCAGAGGTCGAACTTGTCCGCGTAGGCCATCACCGACGCGTCCTGCACGCCGTAGTAGAGCGTCGCGGGTTTCGGCAGGTCCAGGGCGACGCCGGACTCGATCGTCGATCGGATGGGCGCGATGCCGGAGCCGCCGGCGACGAAGAGCTGGTTCATGCACGCGAAGCCGTCGTACTCCGAGTCGACGGCGCCGTCCTCGCCGTTGAAGGCCTTGCCCACGGCGTAGCCGCCGCCGGAGACCTCGGAGCACTTGACGGCCGCGCCGGCCGCGAGGGACGTGAGGTACGCGTTGCCCTCGTTCTCCTTGATGAGGAACTCGAAGGCCTTGCCCTCGGTCGGGCCGACGACGGGCGGCGACGCGATGGCGTAGAAGCCCGGCTTCTCCTCGCCGAGCGTCAGCTGCACGTACTGGCCGCCGATGCGGTGCGCCTCGAGCGTCTCGGGGCTCACCTCGAGGGCGATGGCGCGGAGGCCGTCGCCGGCCTCGTCGTTGGACTTGACCACGGCGTCGCTCCAGACCGGCGGGTCGCCCCAGCCCATGGAGAGCTGCGCATTTCTGACGCGCACCTGGCGCTGCGGGAGCAGCGCGCACGCCGGCGCGAGGAGGAGGATAGAGAGCGAGACCATCTCGTCCCGCGATCTAATCAAGTCGGTGTTGACGAGATGTTGACGCCATGTTGCCCTATAAGTGCGGCCGGGCAGCATCTCCGGGCAGCCCGCCTGAGACGAATTATGGCGTCGCGCTATGTCGTGGATGAGGCGTACCGCTCCGAGTCGGAGGACGAGGAAACGAGCGCGGCGCCGCACGCGCCGTCGTCGTCGTCGTCGTCGCCGCGCGGCGGGTCGCTGCTCGAGAAGCTGCGGCGCATGTCGCCGCGGACGTCCGAAAGCTCGCGGCCGAACTCCCACGAGAGCTCGCGGCCCGAATCGGCGGCGGCGGCGTCGGACGTCGTCGTCGGCGGCGTCTCGCGGCCCGAGTCGGCGGCGGCGGCGTCGGACGTCGTCGTCGGCGGCGTCTCGCGGCCCGAGTCGGCGGCGGCGGCGTCGGACGTCGTCGTCGGCGGCGTCTCGCGGCCCGCGACGGCGGACGTCGTCGTCGGCGGCGGCGGCGTCGCAGACGCGCCGGACGACGACGACGACGACCGGGACGACGAGCTCGAGGCCGCGCTCCGCGCCTTGCGGGACCTCGAGCGCGTCGGCCGCGCCGACGAGCCGAAGCGGAGGGAGGTCGCGGGCCCCTGCCCCAACGCGCGGGTCTGCGGCGGGCGGTCGCCCCTCGGCGGCGTCTGCGAGGCCTGCGACGCGCAGTGGGGGCCGGAGCCCCTGGACATCTTCGAGGGCGAGGACGACGAGTGCGCCGAGTGCGCCGTGTGCTTCGAGCGGCCCGCGCGCGTCCGGCTGCCCGGCTGCCGCCACCGCTTCTGCGCCGGCGACTTCCTGCGGCTCCACGGCCTCGTCCAGCCCGAGGCGGGCTACGTCGGCTTCGGCGCGGCGGGCGGCCACCGGGACCGGGGCTGCCCCGTGTGCCGCGAGGGCCGCGTCTGCCCGAACTGGGTCCACACGGGCCGCCGCAACTGCACCTGCGGCCGCTGCGTCAACGTCTGCGCGGCCTGCGGCGACGAGTGCTACGTCGCCTGCGCGCGGTGCAAGGTCGCGTGGTACTGCGACCGGGGCTGCCAGCGGGCCGACTGGGCGCGCCACGGCGCGCGGTGCGCCGCGCTCGCGGCGGAGGACCGGCGGCGCCGCGGCGTCGCGCGCGACTTCCGCGCGTCGGAGAAGGGCCTCGAGCTCCGCGCGGGCGCCTGGGACATCGTCGGCTACGTGCGGCCGCGCGAGGGCGCGCACGACGGCCTCTTCTCCGTGCGGAGCCGCGACGCGCGGGGCGACGCGACGCGCAACGTCCACGCGGGGCTCGTCATGGATCTCCTCAGCGAGGACGCGGCGCGCCCGCCGCCGCCGCCCGCCGCCGCCTAGGAAAAGCCTAAAGGACAGCCGCCTAGAGGCGCGGCCGCCTAGAACGGGAGCCGGAGGAGCGGCCGGTCGACGTAGCCGACGGGCTGGCCGAGCACGTTGAACCGCGGCTGCCACCGCGCGCCGAAGGCGACGCCGACGGCCGCGCCGCCGAGGAGCCCGCCGAGGTGCGCCATGTTGTCGATGTTGCCCGCCGTCGCGCCCAGCAACGCGTTGAGCAGCACCGTGTCGCGGATCGAGTCGAGGCCCCGCGTGCCGTAGAGCTCCTGGTGCCGGTAGAGGTGCACGGCGAGGGCGCCGATGAGGCCCGCGATGGCGCCCGACGCGCCGACGGACGTGGACCCGACGGGGCCCTTGGCGCACGACAGGAGGTTCCCCGCGATGCCCGACGCGACGTAGACGACGAGGGTCTTCTTGGCCCCGTAGGCCCGTTCGAGCGACCTGCCGACGTTGCGGAGGCTGATCATGTTCACGATGAGGTGGGCCGGCGACGCGTGCAGGAGCATGGGCGTCGCGAGGCGCCACCACTGCCCGGCGCCGATGAGCGGCGCGCTCTTGCAGCCGAGCGTGAGGAGCTGGGGCTGGAGCACCTGGGCGCCGTAGGCCCCGACGGTCGTGTAGGTGATCTTCTCCGTCACCAGCGGCGCCGCGGACCGGGCGACGCGCTGGCGCGCGTACTGCGAGGGCGCCTGGTAGCCCTGCATCGACGCCGCGACAGCGGTCGCGAGCGCGAGGATGGAGCGCATCGTGTGTGTTTCGTGTCCTGCTGCCTCCGCGAAGCGCTCGCGCGGACTGCTGTGCTGTGGGTCGGCGTCGAGAGGCGTCTGCAAGGGCAGTGCGTCGAGGGACACGAAGGCTGAGGCATGTACAAGTACAAAGAGCCCGAGTTGATGTCCCCATCAGGCGAGTTGACTTCTGGGCGCACGGGCAATATTTTTTAGCACAGCACGCACGAGAGCAGCCCCTCCCTCCCCGCGGCCATGGCGCGGCCCTGCTGCGCGCTGCTGCTGGTGCTGGCCGGCGGCGCGTTCGGCGCCTGGGAGCCGGAGATCGAGGCCAAGGGCCGGAGCTGGAACGCGCTCATCGAGCAGGAGCTGGACCGGTCCATGGCGCTCTACGAGCGGCCGGCGTCCCTCGACGCCGCCGAGGCGCTCCTGCTCGAGATCCTGGGCGACCCCTACCGCCTCGTGCTCGTCGTCGGCAACCGGCTCGTCGTCGACCGGCGGTTGCTGCTCCAAAAAAAGGGCATGCACCACATCGAGTTCCTCAAGTCCGTCATGGAGCGCGCGCCGCTCGACAACGTCGCGTACCAGTGGGAGTGGAACGCCGACGGCTTCAACAGCGAGGACCAGCTCGTGCGCGAGGGCTGCCCGACGCCGGCGAACATGCGCCTGAACCGCGTGAAGCCCAAGTCGAAGCTCCGGCAAAAGGACGCGACGCCGCTGCCGCGTTTGGTCATCGCGAAGCGCTACGGCTACGACCAGTGCGGCATCCTCGTGCCGAACTGCTACTTCGACGACCTCACCAAGTGGGGCCGCCTCGCGGAGACGATCACCGACGTCGCCGCGGGCCTCCCCTTTGAAAAGCGCGACGGCCGCGTCTTCTGGCGCGGGTCCATCCGCACGGAGCCGGACTGCGACGACGAGGCCGGCAACTTCGCGCGCACGGAGGCCGTGGCGCTGACGGCGGCGCACCCGGACGTCTTCGACGTCAAATGCCTCGAGTGCGACGTCCGCGACGAGGCGCGCCAGTTCCGCCCGGCGCGGGACGAGCGCGCGACGCGCCCACCTTCCAAGGCTCCGATCTCGGCCGGTTTCCTGTCGTTTCGGCTGATGTTTGGACGAGCGATCATCCCTCGGAACGGCCTCGACGCGTGGATGGGGTCTCCGGAACGCGCGCGTCGAAGCGACGTCGCGTCTCTCGCTTCCCGCGCAGGTTCTGCCCGCGCCACGTCTTCGCCGACGAGACGAAGCGGCACCTCGGGGACCTGAGGAAGCTCGGCGCGAGCCACGTCGACAAGTCGAGCTTCGGCCGCTACCAGTTCCAGCTCAACCTGCCCGGGTCCGTCTCCGGGAGCTACAGCCGGAACCTGAACCACCTCTGGCTCCTCGGCAGCGTCATCGCCATGTGGGACGCGCCCTACGTCGAGTGGTACTACCCGGCGCTCGCCGAGGGCGTCACGCACCTCGCGCTGAACCGCTCGACGGCCCTCGACGCCGTGCGCGACGTGCCGCGGCGCGCGGTCGAGACCATGCTCCGGAACGCGCGCGCGGTCTACGACCGGCTCCTCTGCCCCGACTGCCTCGCGGCCTACATGCGCACGCTCGTGCGGAAGATGCGGGCCTACTTCCGGCTCGGCGACGTCCTCGACGACCCCGACCGGCTCCGGCGCGTGCTCGAGCGCCTCGACGTCGCGTCGCTCGAGCTCGTCGAATTCACGATCCGCGAGAAGAAGATCCACATCAACTTCATCACGACGCGGAACCAGCTTTTGGAGTTGGCGGCCCACACGAACGACACGGCCGTCGAGGCGAAGCTCAACGACGCCAAGCCCTGGCGCCAGCGGCGCCGGGGCGACAAGGGCGGCACGTTCACGCTCGACGGCGGCGGCGGCCGGCGCCGGCCCGTCTCGCGCGCCGCGGCGGCGGGCCGGGGCCTCGCGGAATCGGACTAACCAAACTCGGGGGTCGCCGAGGACGCGGGCGCACGACCCCGTCGGGCGGGCGCGCTCGTCGCGACGATGGCGCGGGGAAGTGCGTTCGTGCTTCGGAAGAATGCGGGTCGGCCTACCCCTTGGCTCGCCATTACGCCTTGTGGAGAAGTACTTGCGTTGTCGATCGAGGCGCAGACGACGACCCGGGGCGGCGGCGCCGTCCCCGGCCACGATGCGCCTCTTCCACCGCGTCGCCGCCGTCCTGGCCCTCGCCGCCTGCGACGAGTCGCCGGACGCCTGGCGGGCGCGCATGGCCGCCGAGCTCGACCGGTCCCTCGCCCTCTACGCCAGGCCGAGGGACGCCGACGAGGCGGAGCAGCTCGTCCGGCGGCTCCTCGGGGACCCCTACCGGTCCGTGCTCGTGCTCCGGAACCGCCTCATCTTCGACCGGCGCCTCTTCTCGCGCGCCAAGGTCATGCACCACGTCGAGTTCGTCCGGAGCGTCATGGAGGCCGGCCCGAGCGACAACTTCGCGTACCAGTTCGAGTGGAACGCGAACGGCGCCAACAGCGAGGACCAGCTTGTGCGCGAGGGCTGCCCGACGCCCGCGGCCATGCCCCGGCGGCGCGTCAAGCCCAAGTCCTGGGCCGCGCAGCCGCGGCAGTCGCCGATCCCGCGAGTCGTCATCGCGAAGCGCTACGGCGGCGGCCGGCGTCGCCGCTTCGCCCGCGGGCGCGCGCGCGACCGGTCCCGACATATGGCCTTCGTCTGCGCTCCGGCGAGCGCTCGACGAGAGCGACCGCGCGCGTCCGGACGCGAGCCGACGCCCCGCGCGAAAGAGGAACTCCGGCCGTTCGGTCGCGCGCCCCCCCGGACCGAACCTTCGGGCGCAGGCTACGAGCAGTGCGGCGTCATGATGCCCAACTGCTACTTCGACGACGTCACGAAGTGGGGCCGGGTCGCGGCGGCGACGGCGCGCGCGGCGAACGCGACGCCGCTCGCGGACCGGGACCCGCGGCTCTTCTGGCGCGGCGCGATCCGGACGCGCGACGACTGCGAGGACGAGTTCGGCAACTTCGCGCGCGCGGAGGCCGTCGCGCTGACGGCCCGCGACCCGGCGTCCTTCGACGTGCGCTGCCTCCAGTGCGACGTCCGCGACGGCGCCGCGAACCCCTGCGACCGGCCGGTCTTCTCCGCGGCGACGCGGCGCGACGTGCTGTCGCTCGGCCGCGCGGCCCACGCGAACCGGAGCGTCTACGGGGCCTACCAGTTCCAGCTGAACCTGCCGGGGTCCGTGTCCGGGAGCTACAGCCGGAACCTGAACCACCTCTGGCTCCTCGGCTCCGCCGTCGCGCTCTGGGACGCGCCCTACGTCGAGTGGTACTACCCGGCGCTCACGGCGGGCGTCACGCACCTCGCCGTGGACGCGGGGACCGCGCGGGCCGCGCTCGACGCCGCGCGGCGCCGCGCGCGAATCACCCGCCGGTCCGGCGCGTCCCGACCGAGCTTCGAAACGCTCGGCCGCGTCGACGTCGATGCGGGTGATGTTTGGACGACTCGATGGCTCTCGGCGAGCGCTCGACGCACGGCCGAAGGGCTCGCGTCGCACCCGTCGCCTACGCGCGCGCCGGAGACGCGACGTCCGCGCAGGCGCGGCGCGACCCAGCGGCGCTCGCGCGGCTCGCGGCGAACGCGCGGCGGGTCCACGACGAGCTCCTCTGCCCCGCCTGCCTCGGCGCCTACTGGCGCGCCCTCGTGGCGAAGATGCGCGCCTACTTCTCCCTCGGGCTCGTCCTCGACGACCCCGCGCGGCTCCGGCGCGTCCTCGAGGCCCTCGGCGCGGGCGGCGCGCGCCTCGTGCAGCTCGCCGTCGGCGGCTTCGCGGGCGGCAGGACGCTCAACGCGTCGACGTCGACGGTGAGCCTGCGCTACGTCGTCGACTTCCCCGCCTTCGTCGACGACGTCGCGCCGCGGCCCGCGCCGCCGCCGCCGCCGCGGGGCCCGAGGCCCGCGCCCGAGGCCAAGGCCAAGCCGCCGCCGCCGAAGAAGAAGAAGAAGCCGCGGAAGCGCCGCGGCCACCAGTACTCGGCGAAGCGCAAGCAGGCCAACTTCAAGCTGAAGCTCGACGCCGTGCGCAACAAGCGCGACGACGACGACGGCGCCTGGGGCGGCGAGCTCGAGGCGCTCCTCGAGCAGCACGGCGATCAGGGGGGGCTCTAAACGAGGGGGGGGGGCTGCACCGTCGTCCGCGCAGATATCGCCGGGCGAGCGCGTTTGGGGCATCTCGGGCGTTTTTTTACTACCAAATTCGCCTTCTCGCGAGTCGCACGCGCGCGCTTACATGTCCGGGGGGCGAGGCCGACGCCCGACCCGAGCGACCCCCGGCGAGACCTTTGTACTCGAGTTCTCAAAACACCTCCCGACGTCAGCATCTCGTGCGCCGCGGCGCGGGGGCGAGCGCTCTCGCGCCGTTTTTGGGGTTGTCTCGCGTTGCCCGCCCCCCCTCAGAGCGCATCGCCCGACGCGCGACTACGGGCGGGACTTCGGAGGAACTATGTGCGAGCAGAGGGGTCGTGGGAGGTGTCGAGGTGCGCGAGTCGCTGTCGGGCGAGAGCTCACCGACCCGGCCAAATCGATCAGGCACCAGCCTTGATGTCAACAGTCAGAACTGCTCAGGCATCACCGTCTCGCGCGCGCCGGCGCGGGCTTTGCGCGCGCTCTCGCGCCGTTTTAGGGGTTGGATCGCGTTGTCCGCCCCCCTCAGAGTCCATCGCCCGCCGCGCGCCTCGGGGGGCGGCGCCGAAGGCGTTGAGCGCATCGAGGGCGCCCGAAGACGCCGTTGAGCTCGCAAAATCGTGCGCAAAAGCCCCCCGACGCGCGCCCGCCCACGCGTACCCGCCAACACTAGTGAAGGTCAGGCATCAGAGACCCAGAGACTAGAGACCTGGGCATCGAGCATCAGACCTGGGTTTCAGACTAAGAGAGACCTGGGATTGAAACCCAGGCCCTCGAATTACGAAAAAAACCTAGAAGTCGCCCAGGGCGTGGTCCAGGTCGCCGGCGGTGGGCCACAGGTGGACCACAATCACCTCCATCACCTTCAGCAGCAGCAGCAGCAGCAGCAGCGTCGTCGTCGTCGTCGCCGCCGCCGCCGCCGCCGCCGCCGCCGCCGCCGCCGCCGCGCGCGCGCGCGCGCGGGCATTCGAACCTACAATCAGACACAGAACGGCATAGGGAAGGCCAT